CATATTGCTCATTATTATACTTTCGATGAACTTTCTGCTTTAATTTCGTATACACCAAAACTTCGTCATCTAAATCTTTCACATATAAATCAAGATAATTCAGATGTTGAAACTATGTTACCAATTAATTTAGATAATTTGACATATATTTCGATGTATACAAACAATATTAACTTTGATGAATTTGAAATCTTTATTGAAAATATATATTCGAAATTAAAAACTTTATATGTTACTTTTTTATATCAAGATATAACTTTTCTTCATGCTTATCGATGGGAACAATTAATTTTACGATATTTATCTCAATTGAAAAAATTTTCTTTAAAATATTATGAACATAAATATTCAATATATTCTGGAGAACGAAATCAATTCGTTTCACCATTTTGGATTGAACGAAAATTGATATTTAATGTTGAAATTAATGAATATAATATTCTTTATTTGGTTTGTCCATACAGGTACATTCCAGAAGATTCTTTTATATCTATATAGATTGTTTGTTTTTGTTTTCAGTAAAAGATGGTATGAATATAAAAATTTTACTGCTGATTATTTAAAATCTACTCAATTGACTATCAAATACGTTTTTTCTGGTGAACCTGCTGATAATTTATTCATGTATATTAAACGTATTTTAAATAAAGTACAAATTTATCATTTGAATATTCAACAACAAATTTCTATTGATAGATTAATGCAAATTATACATTTATTACCAGATCTTATTACATTACAAATTAATTCTTTAGCATTTTATCGATCATTCTTCGATGAAGAATTTCCTACAACATGTTCAATAGAAAATGCAAGTAAAATTAAAAAAGTTTATATGGAGAAGACGGAAACAATTAAAGAAATTTATTTTCTTCTTGATGTTTTTCCGCATATGGAATTTCTTTATGTCGAATGTATTCATGGTATGTCTATTGAATTATTTCTACGAGATATTTTAAACAAAATTAATAAAGATCTTCGTTTATTATGTATTTATGTTTCAAAAGTAGATGATAATATGATTAAAAGATTAAACGAAATGATTGATAATGAAAAACTTTTATCAAATTATACAATTCATCATGAGCTTGATAATATCTATTTGCAGTGGATATGATTTTTATTTCGTTGATGTTTGTTTTTTATTGTTAAAAATGTGTATCAGATGTTTAGGCAAAGATTTTAATGCTGAACCAAATAAACTATTTCATATATACGAAAAACAAAGAATAGGACGTGTAATTTGTGAGAAAAATCTAAGCCAATTAAAGGGAAACGACTGCTTTTTGAAATGATTGAAATTCTATTATTTCATTTTTTTTTACTGTTTCCAAAAAAACGATCACTTGTTCATTAAGGAGTTATTGCGAAATTGAAACATGATTTGTGTGTGATTAATGACATATAAAATATGAGAAAGAGAATAACGTCTCATTTGATACAATAGATACTATGTTTACGTGATCGACAATCCTCTCTCTCCAGATGAACAGTAAAGTTTTTGTTGTTTGGTTTATGTAGTAGTCGTATGAATAAATAATTCTTCGTTTGTGTGTATAATTATCATATTATATTTGTCGATATTTTCTTAATTGTCGTTTTTTTTTGGCAACACAATACAATTTTAATCATTGGTTATTTTTCACTAATTGACTTAATTTTTGTCTGCAATTAATACATAACCGACGTGATCACTCTTGACCTGTTGACTACATCCGTATCCGGTCATTCGATTTCGTGAAACAAAGGATAAACAAAGCATTTGTTTACGTATCATATATATTTCAATTAGACTATCGTCTGAGGAAAATACCTCAGTTTCTATGACTATCTTCTTTTTTAGGTCTTCGTTCATTTGTACATCTTCTATTTTCATCAAATGTCAAGAGTAAAACTCCCATTTGGTCGACAGGTCCTTAATTGATCCCTTTTCGTTCTGTTTAGTCAATAACTTTTCCTCTCTTTCATATAGCGCATTTTAATAATTAACAGTTTGTTCGACTAGTTAAGAGTAGACTGATCACTTGCATAACAAACATTCACTTGTTTTCAAAAGTCGAAGGTCATTGTAGATATGTATCACTACTAGTATTTTATAACTGACGATATGGCAACAGTTAGACAAGTACAGCATCAGAAAAATAAGCAACGTCGAAAGAAACAATATGTCCTCTTCAACAGAAGAATTATCAATCTTATAGACCGATATGCCAATGATTGATTCACACTAAATGATTATTTTATCAAAATAAGAAAAACGATTGAAACAAAAATCATTGTGTGCTAGCATTAATAGTAATGAAAAGTTATCATAAATTTTTGTACTATTTTCTTGCATCTGATTCTAGTTCATTTTCATTGTTTGATGTTATTTAAAAAATAAAAGAAGTGCAGTATTCATGTGCCTAGGTTGACTATCAAAAATTGCACAATGATTCTTGTGATGCTTCATCAGATGTCTCTGAACTAGTCGATCAAACTGTTAACTATTAAAATGCACTATATGAAAGAGAGGAAAAGTTGTCGACTAAACGGGAACTTTTTACAATTGGTCTTAATTAGTCGATCGAACGGGACTGAACTGATCAAACCTATTACTGATCAGCGAATTGATCCTCAAGATAGGCCTATCGAAATGATTTCATATCGTTCAATGAATATTTCTAAGCACTATCAATATATTTTCATGGATTAGAACGTCTTTCTTGATTAAAGTTCACTTTTATCTTTCCTCTTTGCTTCTAATCATAACAAGAAATCGTTCCGAATAGAATTTGATCGATCTAAGAAGAGCGATACGAATTTCATAAGGTTTGCCAATAGAACTTTTCAATTAAAACCAATTCGAAGATGTCAACGGTATATGTAGATCTCAATAGAATGAGTAGAAATATTTTTCTTCTGGAGGAAAATCAATGATTGAACAATCGATGTGGATGAAGACTGTTTTTTAATAGAATTATTGATTGTATCAATGAAAGAAATTGTTTCTAATCATTTCTATAGAATATATTGATGTTCTAGAAGAGATATTTGAAGAAATATGAAATATGCTTTGCTCACAAAGTGAAGTTGAATGTTGGTCAAGAGATTTGATTTGAATTTATCTAGTTAATCTGATGAAACTTCACCCAAAATATTCTATTAGCTCTGATCATTCTCATGATTTTTATTCGCATTATTAATTGATTCTTGTTGAAAGAACAGACAGAAATCTTCGAATTTTAATGAAATGTTTTTTTTTTCTTCTCTATATGAATATTCGAAAAAAAAACCGTTGATAGTTATGATATCAACGTAGATCTATTGATTGTTTTTCTTCATCTCTTCATAATTATTGATAAATAACAATATACATGAATGAAAGTCAAATGAGAGAACATAAGGAACGCAGAAATTATCGGTTTTGGATCAAAAAAAGTTCTATATAAAACGATTGATTCATCTTCATTTGGTTCTCTTGAACAAATTGATCTATTGATTTTGTCGATATAATAATAAAAAAAGAGGCTCGAATCGAATATTCATAGAAAAAATATTATCGTCGAATAGATGTTTATTTGAATACGTTGAACAACAATGAATGGATATATCTTCACCATTAAAAAAAAAACATTTTCAACTTCATTGTTTTATTATTAAACGTGAATTTCATCTAAATCGATTAGATATTCTTATTAAATGAATGAATAAACATCAAAGAAAAATGAGATTATCTTCTCACGAGGGAACATTTTCAACTATCTAATTACTTTTGAATTTGGACTCTGTGCATAGGATAGACCTTGATGAGATGTGGAAAACTCCAAATGAATAAGTACCTTTAGGCCTTCTGTTCAGAGTTATAGTCATTTTACTGGAATTTTAGCCTATGACATGGTATATACCAAAAAATCGAATGGTGATATTTCGATATGAGTTTTTACTTACGGACGGATCTATTTGTGAATACGAGATATAAAAGTCCAAAAGATCACTCATATCCCACGAAGAATGCTAGAATTTTCCGTTTTGTAAAATACGACCTAAAAGAAGTGTTGAAGTATATAGGGCTAGAAATTTGCACTCACTCCCACGCCACCATCCCCTCTTCCCACAGACCGTGACAGACATTTTAGCTAATTAGATGACTAATCAAGCAATAATTTTCTAATTAATTGACCAGCACAGGACGTGAGAAATGTGATCTGGAACCCGCCACATATGGTGACAGGTGTCTGCATGGTACTATCAGAAGCCATGTATAACCTAAGTCTAGTTAAAATATCTCTGGAATATTTCCTTGTTGAAGTTCTATGGCAAAAAGTAAGGTATAATGACGAAATATACTCGGATTTACATAAAAAGACGACTTTCTAGGGAATTAGTAACAATAGGTATATCGTGTTTCACATTTTAATCTTCCAGGAATTGCGCTACAATAGATCTGTCTGTGAGTAAAACCTCAGATCGAAATATCGCCATACGATTTTTTGGTATATACCATACCATAGGCTAAAATTCCAGTAAAATGACTATAAATCTGAACAGAAGGCCTAAGGGAACCTATCCATTTTGGAATTTTTCATATCTCATCAAGATCTATCTTATACACGGAGTTCAAATTCAAAAGTGATTAGACAATTGAAAACGTTCCTTCGTGAGAAGATAATCTCATTTGATCTATTTCCTTTGAATGAATTTGTCGCAATCATGTAATCCAGTATTTTTAATGAATGAGCGTACCCAGCAAAACAACGGGTATGGTACCCCTAACAAAAAAACATTTACACACTGTTTTACACGTTGCTGAAAAAAGTAGCGTGTACGCTGTACACACTGAACTTTAATTTTACACTTTGATTTTTCTATTATCTCCGTGCTTCTGCTGTATGCACAAAAATATAATTTATATATTGAATAGCATGAAAATTTTATACGTAGACTTGATGTAATTTGAAATATGACAATAATGAACATGTTGTAATGATTTGTATTGAAACGTGACGTTGTTTATTCACAATATCATTAGTTAAGAAAATTGATAAATAAAAAAAATTTAAAATAAAAATTACAAGAATATAATTGAGCTCGTGTAAGTTTCATTTTAATATTTTTATTCAATTTCTTTTTATTTATCAATTTTCTTAACTGGTGATGTTGTAAGTGAACAGTGGAACATCTCAGTGTAAATGATCAAAATGACTCCAATTGAAGTAAACTTCGTTTAACTTTCATTTTTAAATGTTTTACATAAAAATTTATTGTATAGTTGAAAATTCGTATTTGAGCTCTATCTATTTATGTTTCATGTAGTGTTGCTTGTTTTGTTATCTTTTCTAAATATTTATGTATCTACAAGTATGGATAAATAGAATTTCATAAAAATATCAGTGTGATATTTTTCATTCAGTCTAAGTTCTTTTTGTGATTTGGAAACATTTTATTTTTGTTTGTTTTTTCAAATCATCTTGCCTTCATTAAAATGAAAAATGAAATAAAAGTTTTTTAAATAAAAGATATCTTTTATGGACAGAAAAAAGTTTCGCGTTTCTAATGCATTTTGTACACTTTGCTGCAAAATACCAAACGTACACATACATGGTGTTCTGAAAAACAGTGTACGCATACATTCTATTTCAGATTCTCATTAAAAACATTGATCTGATCTGGAAGATACTGTTCGAACTTCTATTATTGTCTCTTAAAGTCTATGAACATAGTTTTGTATGATTATAGTTATTTAATACACAAGGTTGTGTATCGAAGGACAACAAAAAAAGTCATATTTAAAATCTTCTTTTCAACGCTACTTCAAAGAGATATGTTAGTCAATATACAACATATCATATTAACCATGTACGTCAGAATCGAATGGAAAGAGAGCACTTATTCGCAGGATATACTTAGGTCTGACCAAAAGTTCTGAGAACATTAAATAAAAATATAGAGATGTCGAGATATTTTTAATTTTATTTTATCAAATGTTGAGGATAATTGCCATAATTATTTATATCAAGTTTAATCCTTTCTAACAATTTATTAAAAGATTTTTTAACCGCTTTTTCTAAAAAAATTTTAGCTACCTTGGATACAACATGAGTTAATCACATTTTATTTGTTTTAAAATTTTGTTAG